CATGCCATCTGCGAGCACCTGAAGACTCTGGTGCAGAGCATGCTGCCTCCTGCCGCTCCCGCACCTGCTGCCTCCCCAGCTAGCACTCCTCCTCTCACTCCTTCTCCCCCTCCGGCTTCTCCCTTCCCACCCTCCATCCCCTCCCCATCCCCCCAGGGATGTCAATGCTCCCGCACCCGTGGTGCTGGGAGACAGTTGGCCCGGTGAGACCTCCAACCCTGAGCCCTGAGCTTCCTCTCCCCCTTCTTCCCCTTGATTCCCCCTTCCAGCTCCCTCCTCCCAGATATCCCCTTCCCTCTCCCATTCTCTCTTCTCCCTTCTCCCGCCTCTTTTCCCCAGTCTCACCAGTGTTTCATTCCCTCCCCTCCAGTTTTGTTAAATAAAGACAGTTTGTGTTCATGAAAATGCGTGTATTTTATTTTATATCAGGAAGGGGGGTTAGAGAGGAGTAAGTGGAAAGACGTGAGGGAGGAATGAGGCACAAGCCCCCAGTGGGGCAGACCAGGGATGCAAGCTCAGGGTGGAAGCTCTCCCGCAGGGCCTCCTGGACACTGACAGCCTCCCGATGGACCTCCTGGATGGCAGCCTGCAGAAAGTGCAGCCAGGCTCACAGCAACATGTCCAAGAGAAGCACCCGAGTGCCCAGGGGCAGCTCCGGCTCCATGTTGCAGAGTGCTGTGGTGTCCCGAGTGAGGGCAACCAGAGCATACAGAGACAAAATGCTTTGCTGTCCCTCATCGAGGTAGGCAAGCAAGCAGAGAAACCTGAGAATCTGCTGTCCGGGGGGTTCCTTTAAGCACAGGCCTCAGGCAGCAGCCACACACAGTAACTCCTGACCTGATGCCCTGCCGGACCTGGTTCCGGCCGGCCTTAAATGCTATTCAGCATCCACTTAGTGTGGATGCGCTAAATGCATTTTGTGTCTAGACACGTTATTTTGAAATAACTTATTTTGAATTAACTGTTTCGAAATAACGCTGTAGTGTAGACATACCGTGAGAGAGTGTACAGGGTGAATTAAAGCACCTGAGACCAAATCCCTATTCTGCCATAGACTCTCTCTCTCTGATCTTGGGCAAGTCGCTTAGCCTCTTGTCCCTATCTATAAAATGGGAGTGGTATTTCTCTGCCAATTGGGGTGTTGTCTGGATAAGCACATTACTGTAGCAGCTGAACAATTTATAATCTTTAATGTGTGCCATGTGAATACCAAGATTATAAATTGTTCAGCTGCTACAGTAATGTGTGCCATGTGAGTACTTACCGATAGATAGAGGTATGGAGTGTGTGGACATTATAGCTATGCCTAAACTATGTAGAATTTTTGAAAGGATATGCAAATTCCATGGGAATTTTCATATCTTCTGCCGATCTCACTTCGAAAAAGGATCTTTCGAAAGTGAAAGTAGTCTGGACGCAGTTTTTTGGGGGGAAAAACGCTTTTTCGAAAAAAACCTACTCTTTAAAAAAAAAAAAAAAAAAGGTTTACATGGAGTTTTTTCAAAAAAAGGGTTTTTTCCCCAAAAAACTGCATCCAGACTACTTTCATTTTCAAAAGATCCTCTTTTGAAAGTGAGATTGGAAGAAGATATGCAAATCCCGTGGAATTTGCATATCCTCTTTTGAAAAACAATAACAACGTAGTTTAGACATGCCCTATGAGGGGTTGGCTTCTGGCAGGATCAAGTCACTGTATCAAGGATCGTAGCTATGAATTATTGCTATGTCTACTTAAATGTTAAGAGGGAGGTCTGAGCTGTCTTTTTTCCGCCAGCTGTTTCAGTGGCTGAGATAGTAATGAATGGAAAATATGAAACTGCCTTCCTGCTGCCACTGTGCAGTTGTCCCAGTTGTTCACTATGGAAATCTGGTCACTGTACTTGTGACCAATATAAGATGCTAACTTTCTTAAACTGTCTTACATGGAGTTCAGTCAAATACTATTATGTAAATTGTCTGATTCAGCAAACAAACAGTGTTATACAGGCAGTCCCCGGGTTACGTACAAGATAGGGACTGTAGGTTTGTTCTTAAGTTGAATTTGTATGTAAGTCAGAACTGGCGTCCAGATTCAGCCACTGTTGAAACTGACCAGCGGCTGACTACAGGAAGCCCGAGGCAGAGCTAGCTGCGCCGCCGCCCCCCCCCCCCCCCCAGCAGACCAGGGAGATGCGGGCAGCGGGACCGCCGAGAAGCGCTGCGGTCCCGCCGCCCCCGTCCTCCGCGGCGAGAAAAGCCCCGTTTGTATGTAGGGATCCGACATAAGTCGGATCCACGTAACTCGGGGACTGCCTATAATTCCATTGAAGAGCTGGGTACAGGTAGAAACAAGATAAGATTAAAAATTGATAAAGCAAAAATTTTGTCTTCACATGTCAATAGCTTCCTCCCCCTTTTCCCCATCTAGTGGTGGCTCTGTATCTCCACATTTGTAGCCCTTGTTGACATTAGAATCTTGGAAGTTGCACACAGTTTTTTATTACACTGAACATTCTTTCTACACTTTCCCACATTTTTTAATATAAATTGTGTATTCAATTGTAAGTGTGTGTGTGTGTGTGTGTGTGTGTGTGTGTGTAACAACGTCAAATATGTAACTTTTGTTTTAAATGTAAGTGAACTCTTAAACACTGCTGTTAGAAATCCATTAATGTGTGTTTGGACTTTTTTTTTTTTTTTTTTAGTTTTGTGTTTAAATGTCAATGCATCTCATCATTTTGAACAGCTTTAAGATGTCAAGTACCTCTATTATAAATTTTTCCAATTGCTGAATTTCATAAGGGTGTATGTGTCTGTGAGGGGAGACAGGTAGCAATGAAGTATCTGATTATCAAAAGTGTTTGTTTTTACAGAACTTTGGGACAACAATAGTGGTTAATCCTGAAAAAGACAAGGATATGGTGCAAGAGCTACTAGATTTTAAGGATAAAGTGGACCATATCATAGAAGCGTGCTTTCAGAAAAATGAGAAATTTGTAAACTTGATGAAGGAATCCTTTGAAACATTTATCAACAAGAGACCAAATAAGCCTGCAGAATTGATAGGTATAATATATTTTTCTGTAAAATATTTATAAAACCTATAGAAACCATAATAAGATAAAGCATACTGAGTATGCTGTTGTAATAGTAATACAATGCATAGCCCACTAGAAGAATTGATTTGGAGATGTTAGGCAAAAATTAATCTGGCTATGTTGTGGAGTTCAGGTAAAAGTCTGGATATTCTATGTCAGGTGTTTGCTTGCAAGACATCACATGAAGAGGCATGTTAACTCTTGCTATTGCTGCACCCCTACTTGCCTGCACTGTGTATAGTGCTGACAGATGCTTAGAAACCTGTATGGCTAACTTTCTAAAGTAGGGTGAGTTGCTAAGGGGAAGGAGGAGCTATTATAAAAGAAATGTAACTACTTCAGAATAGAATAGTGGTATGTCTTTTGGATAAGGCTCATACTGATGTTAAAACATCATTTTCCCATACAGACTGACAGTCGATAAGAAAAATATGCCCAGGAAGGAAGGAGTAGTGGGATTTGAGTGGCTGGTTGTTTTTCCCTCCTGAGCTAAACTCAGGAGAACATCAGTTTAAAAGCATTAAGTTACAGGAAGACTGAGTTGTAAAGAAGAAAATTGTTCAGGACTTCTAATCAGAAAAGGGAAGCGTAATCATTTGGTGTACATTAGAAGAAAAATATTTAAAATGTTCAGAATAAGTAATATGAGGACAGATCCACTGGTGGTGTAAATTGTGATAGCTCTGACTTTGAAGTCAGTGGAGCTACAGTTTACATTAGCTGAGGATCTGCACGTTTCTGTCTATACCATATTCTTTTGCTTTTTCTTGCTAACCTGAAAAATGGCTTTCTAAGTAATACCCTTATGTAGGGGAGATGACTGAATACTATTTGAATGTGCGAGCAGTGATATGGGCTTATTGCCACTTGTGGAAACTATATCCTCAGCTGTTACAATGGCTTCCTTCTCATCCCACTGACACGTAACCTAGAGACTCAGAGTAGGGCTATTTGTATGGCTTTCTATACCTTCAATTAAAATTTATCGTGTAATCTTGTTTCTCTCTGCCATTATCAAGCTACTAACTTGAAAGCATCACTTCTGTTTAAGTTTTGGTGAGAGCCAGAGGACATGGTAAAGGCCTACAAAACTAGTCGTCTTTGTGTTGTTTATTTTTGTTTCTCATGTTATACATTCTTATGCATTGTATAATTCCAAATATTGTCTATCAACAAGTAATGTTCTTGTAGTGAACATAACATGAAAATTCTAGTGTTTTAGTACATTAATTTTAAAGCTAATTTGTTGTCTTTATCATTGTCGGTTCCTTTGTGACATCATTTTTCACTAAAAATGTAATACCTGAATATAATTACTCTGACTTTTGAGGAGGGATAACCGATTACAAAATAGGATATTTGGCATTTCACCAGTGCTTTAATATCTAGTAATATTAGAAGTAGAAACATTACAATAATTTTAGAGGCATTTTTATTTTAAGCTCCTCAACTTTTTTATTTATTTATAGCAAAACATGTGGATTCAAAGTTAAGAGCTGGAAATAAGGAAGCAACTGATGAAGAGCTAGAAAGAATCCTTGACAAAATCATGATAATATTCAGATTCATTCATGGTAAGAAATGTTTAAGTGTAAGAAGGGTTTAAAACAGATGTGATTAAGATGATCTTTAGTGCTACTGCTAGAACTGTTAACTGATTTAGTGCAGCAGTAACAAACTTGTTGCATGTTTAAGAGTCTATAGGCTGGGACTACAAAATTAGAGAGGCTGATGTTAGTTGCATAAAGACCAAAGGTTAAAACTGTTCTCTGACCAGAAACTGTGAGTGTCACTGATATTATTTTTCCCCTCATTGTTTCCCTCCCCTGGCCACTCAGATAAGATTATGTGGGAGCCCTGCACACAGTAGCTCATCCTTTTCATCACCATCCTTCTTTTACATAAGGATGCAAATAATAAATCAAGGTACAGAGAAGAGAGAGTGGCACTGTAGTGCTTGACCTCTTAATGCCATGCACTTTCCAAGAATGAACTCTACCAATCAATATAAGGATAAGCACATGATCTGGACATTTATACTAAAATGAACAGCAGAAAAAGCATATCACCATATCATCTAATTAAACTATCTGTTGGCTGTTTTAGGGGAAAATGGGGTCTAAATCTTAAATATCTGAGTTAGAGGAAAAGCTGTTTTTGTCTAACTAGAGCAGTTTCTAATATTGGGCATTTTATATAAGAGATATAGGCAGGCCTGCTTTTTTTTTTTAAACCCCTCTTTGCTCTTGCTATGGAAATATTTTTCCTGAATTATTTGAATATAGCAGTCTGGACAGCAAACGTGTGGAGACTGATTATTGTTTGTCAAACCCTAAGAAAATCCCAACAGAAGCGATGAAGGAAGTATATATTTCTTGAGGCTAAGAGATTAACCTTTCTAAATTTGAAATGCTAAATAGGAAACCATGACATTTTCCATTTATTATTTTTATTTTAATATTATGCATATCTGTATTTTAAAGTTTTTAAATGAACTGAAAGAGTAGGTCAGAATAATAATTTTTTTTTATTTTTTTTTTTAACTAACTAATACATATGTCATAGCAGGACATGGCTGGCTCTTTAAGGGTAGGTCTTACTGAGCATTTAAGTTTCTACGCCTTGGTCCTTTAAGGACAGATATTCTGAGACCTGTAGTTACCAGCTGTTCCCCATCTTATCTTCCAAGCACTCCCTGCTCTCTCCTGAGCTTTTCACCCACAATAAAATGGCATGGCTATTCTATATAACCAAACCACTTTATCAGTGAGAGCGAAGCTCAGAGAGTTCTTGGTAGTCTGTGTGCTGGGAGATCTGAAGTAGAACTGCTGCAGCAATGTTGAGTTCCTCTTGGCGGATCCCAGTGATAGTCTGCCAAGATTTGGGGTAATAATACTTTGAAGGAGCCATGTTTTGCGTGGAGGAAAAGAGAACACTGAATCTGAATCATATTCCTAGTACCTCTGCTCCAAGGAGTGGTAGATCTAAGGAGCGGATCTGGAGAAGCCCCAATGGAAGGGGTGAAGATCTGTGGATATTCATACATGTCTTAAGTTTCAAAAGACTATTTGCAGAGCCTACTGAGAAGTATACGAAAAGCCAGAGGAGGTGATGTGTACAGAAGGGGTTTTCTGAAATGCATAAGGGCCCATTTTGTGTATTAATAGACAAGACTCCAGGAGGGACGATGATAGTATTTTTGGCAAATACAATTTTGTGTCAGTAATTGCAGCTGACCAAGGGCAGGAAGGGGCAATTAAGTCAACAGCCACACTTGGACACTGAAGAGGGAAACAACCATATCACAATAAATTAAGAAGAAAATCCAAACCACAAAATTGTTGTGATGTTAAGGCTCCATTGGCACAACTGGCACCTATCTTGATGTCCCAGCTGTCTTACCCATTGCCATCTACTTCTTCAGAGGCTGCTTCTGTGTCAGTGCCATCGGGGAGACCCACCAAACGCTGACAGAGACTGCTTCTCCATTTACTACGGAGAGTTGCATCTCTTCAGACTCAACCATCCAACACCAAGATCTCCTTCAACATCTTTTAGATCATTTTTACAGAACTTGTTCCAGAGATACTAAATCTGAAAGTCAGGACTGACACTCTTACAAGGAACATCTCCAGTGACCTTATGGGACATCTTGAACTGTTATGAGGAGGTCTAAACCTCCATCTGAGTTCTAGTCTACAAGATCACCTTAATCTACACCATCAACGTATAGGGAAGCCCCTTCTGTGATCCCTTAGCCTCTTCCTTTGTTGGAACTTAGATAAGAAGGGAAAATAATGGGGAAATCTTTTCATGTCTTCCCACCCCTAATATTTCATTTTTTCTGAGGCTGTCACCCTGGAATCAACATCTTTTCTGGAAGATTTTAAAATTCCAGGGCTTTATGAGAAGGGTGGCCATGTCTTTAGGAGTACAGGTGATGCTTGCACAAGATAACCATACAAGCTCCTATATATCTTACAGATCCCTGCTCTGAAAACAATCATCCTTCCCATTAATGAAGCCTTTGCTGGCATCAGTCAGATCTCTCTGTCAGATGCCAGCTTCTATACCACCCACAGTCAACGGTGCTAAAGTTCCACTGCAAGAATTTGATTATTTCTTTACCATCTAACGCTTGACTCCCTTGAGATTATGGATACTGCTAAGTGTACCAGGCAGTCTCAATTCAGGGACACTAACAACAAGGAGTTTAAAAACTGGACTTATATATGGACCATGCTACTACCAGCCGTCAGATATGTGTCAAATTATCAGGTACTGTTTTTTAAATACACTTTTCTTAATTGGCCAGCGGTCTCCAAATTTACAGACAAGTTGTCTGAGGAGCACAGAGAAAAATTATTGGCTATAGTTTTTGAAGGATCTCTCACTTCCTGTGGTATGCATCAAGCCTGCAAGACGTTTATATCCACCATCAGGAACCACTTGGTTTAAGTTCTGATGAACAATACCATTACCATGTTTTATCTGAACAAGCAAGGGGATTGCAGGGTCATCTCAGCTGCTCTAAAAAACAATCTGTCCATGGAATCTCTATAAGAAACAATGTCTTACTAAAAGCTTTATATTCCAGAAGTGAGGAACATTATTGCAGATTCTCTCCATAGGAACTTGTCCAACACAAGTGGTCAGTCAGGAAGGATATTCTATTCCAGGTCTTTCAACACTGGGGGTAACCAGCAATGTTCCCTCTAATTTATTTTTTTCAGTCCATGCATGGAATAAATTTTATGTGCAGAGAGTCATGTGGAGATGTGTTTCTACTGGTGGTGCACATGCTGCTGGCTGTGGGTGCTCTGCTAATCAGGCGGCATTTGAATCTCTCCTGGGTAGTCACCTAAGCACTTAGCTTAAAAGGAATACCGGTACCCAGTAATACGTTTATTTGTGACATACTTCAACAACAGGTGCAGGGATTTTGCTTCAGAGTGGCTGCAGCACAAGTTCCATGCTGGATGTCTTTCTTCTTCCCTGGTCTATTCATCTGCTTTATGCATCCTCCTCTCTGCCTCTCTCCCTCCTCCCCCCCAAATTTCTCACATTCGAAGAGTGCTCCAGGAAGATGAAAAGAGACAAAGCAACATAAATCCTGGTGGCACAAGCTTGGCCATGACAACAGTATTGGTTCATGGATCTACATCAGCTTTATCAGACCCCTGATAATTTTATCCTGGACAAAAATCTCCTATGTCCTAATGTTATCAGGACAAGTCTCTGAATGCCAACCGTCAATCTCTCCATCTCACTGTGTGAATAATTTCTGGTTAAATATGTGTGAGAGATTATGGTCCTGAGAAGTTTGTCATCTTGGCAAGCAGCACCAAGGACTCACTAGGGCCACATTTTCTCAACCTTCAAGTGGGCCACGGGGCAGTGTTCCCTCTTATGGGAACACAGAATACATGTTGTTAGGTGGACCGAGGCATGCGTAGGTGTGCATCACCAATAGAAACACATGTGGCAAGCTGTGGGCACTTTGCTAATCAGCTGGGTGGCATTTGAATCTCTCCTGGATGGCTGCCCAAGTGTCCAGCTTACAGGAAACACTATTGTGAGGTCACAAAGGCCAAAACCCAGACTCCAAACCCCAGCACCCCCTGTGGAGCTGAAGTCAGGAACTGAGGTTGAAACCTTGATCCTTGAGGCTGTCCACAGGGTTGAAGTCCTGATCCCTGCCTCACCCAATAGATTGAAGCTAGGAGCAGCTAGGATGAATCTCAGGGCCCAAGCTCTGGTGCCTCCTGGAAGCCCTAAGCACCTGAGCAGAGTTGGAGGGCATAAAGGGCATTGCCTCCCCAAAATGGTAGCAGGGCAGTCCCTGGAGCAACTTCTCCCCTTCTCCTTCTCTCCCCATCTCCAGCCTGGTCGGAGGTGGGAAGCTAGAGCCAAGGAGTGTGGGTCAGCTACTGCTCTAGTTGGCTCCATGGAGCAGGTAGCTGAAGTGTTCCCTCTGCTGGTGCTCAGGGGTAAAGCTGTTCCTGAGCTCCTTGTCCCCACAGAAGCAGACGTAACATCCACCTTTGGATGGTGGAGAGTCCAGGAACCAGGACAGCAGAGGAGCCCTCCTGGCACACAACCTCTAGAACTCCTCTCCCTACATCCTGAACTGCCCCTTCCCTGCACCCTGAGTTATGCCACCTGGCTACACCCAACTTCTAGCTGCACCCTGAGCTACCCTTTGCTTGCACACAGCCCTTAGCTACCCCCACCCTCCACCTTATGCTGTTCTCAAGCTTTTGGAGCTGAGCCCCCAACTTTTGAGTTTATAAATGTTGGTCCCCCCCTCCCCAACTCAGGCTGGGTGGGCTCCTGAGGTGAGTTGGGGGTGGAGGTGTTACTCCCTCCCTGGACCACACCATGTGGAGTGGGTTTGAGCCCTGCTTGGACCTTCCCTGTCCCCAAATAGAAGTCAAATTATACCTGTGCCCAAGGTCCCTGCCCCAGTACCCCCTCCCCCAAAAAAATGAAAGAGGTTTTTGATCGGGATAAGCAGCGAGGAGTCCTGTGGCACCTTAGACTAACAGAAGTATTGGAGCATAAGCTTTCGTGGGCAAAAGCCCACTTCGTCAGATGCATGTCACATTTGATGCATGCATCAGACGAAGTGGGTCTTTGCCCACGAAAGCTTATGCTCCAACACTTCTGTTAGTCTATAAGGTGCCACAGGACTCCTCGCCGCTTTTGCAGATTCAGACTAACACGGCTACCCCTCAGATATTTGATCTGGATGGCTTTTGCAGATTCAGACTAACACGGCTACACCTCAGATATTTGATCTGGATATAATCCCACCGTTATTTCATCCTCATACAGAAATCATACACATGCTGGACTGCATCTGAAATAATCCACCCTTTCAATTAGTTTAGTAAGAATCCACTTCACTTCTCAGCAATACAGAATGACCTCTCTATCTTTTCTTTCTTTTTGATTAAACCCTTAAGAAATCTGGAAACCTGTTTCTATCTTCCTGTGAGCATTTCAGTACCTTCATAGGATCTTCAGTCTAGTCCTAGCCAAATTAAAAGATTCTCCCTTTTAACCTCTGATTTTCCTACGGCTACCTATGATGATTGTTTTTGGTTGCAATCCTCTCTGCAATGAGATTTCCAAAACTTCCAGCATTGACTTTCGTTTATCGTTATCCATAAAGGCAGCATTTCTCCTAGGCTATACCCTAAATGTATACCAAAGTTGGTGTCAGCTTTTTCTGCCTTCAAATCCTACGCTTCCAAAGCTGATCAGAGTCTCTACCTCTTCAATGTTTGCAGAGCTTTGGCATTCTACCTGTATTGTACAGTCATTCAGATCTTCCCCTAGGCTCTTTGTGGCCAATTCTGAAAGAGGTATAAGTCACCCTGGAACAACTCTACAGAGCTCTTATTGGATTTGGGACTGCATTATGCTTTCCTATGACCTTACTAAAGTCTCCTCCTCCATCAACATTAGAATCCCGTTCTACGAGGGCTCAGGCTGTTTCATCAGCCTTCCTGAGCAATATTTCTAGATATATGCAAGGCAACAATGTGGTCATCTTTACATATTTTCTTCAGATACAACACTATTTCTCAAGCTTCATGAAATAACGTCAACTTTGGTAAGTCAGTGTTGTGATCTTTGGATTATTTGGTGGGGAAAAAAAAAAGTCCCATCACTTGTAGGGGAAATTGCTGATGAGTCACCTACAGTGGAATGCTATGCATGCAATCACTCCAAGGACAAAAACAATGCTTATTTTACCTCTGTGGTAATTGTTATTCTTTGAGATATGCTGAGCACATATATTTTCCATAATCTCTCCCACTTTCCCCACTGCTTCAGATGTTGGACAGTGGTATGAAGGAACAGAGAGTGAGATGGCAATGGCCCTCAGATTGGTGTACAAGAAGAGTAGGGCCATGTGTGCAGCCAAAAATCTACAACTCAAGTACATTGGGAGCAAGTACAAATTTTTAGTGAAACATGTGTGTACAGCATATCTCAAAGAATAACACCAGTCAATGTACAGATATATCCACCTTTCAGCAAGTCAAGAGGAAGGACACTTCTGTATAATTGAAGATGAATAAATATGTAACTTTTCGTTTCTCAGGCTTTTTTTCTTGTTGTTGTTGCTGTTGTTTGTTATCTATACAGGTAAAGATGTGTTTGAGGCATTTTATAAGAAAGATTTGGCCAAAAGATTGCTTGTTGGAAAAAGTGCTTCGGTAGATGCTGAGAAGTCGATGTTGTCAAAGCTTAAACATGGTGAGCAGCTGCAAACTTTGAATTTTTTTACTTCCTTTGGTTTTTAAATATGAATCTTTATTTATGTTAAAGGGACTGGACCAGATTGTCAAATAAAAGATGAGCATGCTACAGCTCCCACTGTTCAGAATGGGTACTGCTGATTGCTCTGGGCTCAAGGAAATATGGAAATTTAATTTAGATGCCTAAATGGTAGTGGAGTTATTTTGGAAATCTGAATCTGTGACATTAAGCTGTAACTGTGGTATGCTTTTAGGACTTTTGAAAACAGGCTTACAGTTTTCTGATGTGTCCAGGAGCACATAGTTCTAGGGGCATTTGGAACAGGTGGAGTGTGGGGGTCTCATATTCAAGTGTTGTAACCAAGGCTAGTGGAATCCAATGTGGGGCTACAGGTGGGCTGCTAGAGTCAGAACTACTGAATCAGCTGTCTTAGCACACACTCAGGGTGTGATAGGCTAGATGTGAGTGTCCTAGGTTGGGAGCTACAACAACAGCATTGGGAGCTCTCAGGCTTGTAGGGTGAGGAGTGACACAACCCCTTCTGTGGTCTGGGTTTGCAGTTGAAGTAGTAGTAATACAGGATTTACACACAGCTTGCTATTTTAACTGAGGTTTACACTTCGAACTCTGGTAAAATGGTTTGAAGTGATTCTCAAGTGAAAAAGCTGCAAACAATTAAAGGTTAATTTTATTTTTTTCCTGTTTACTTTGAGTAAGGGAAATAGAACAATTGAAAGTGTAAACATGAGTAAGAAGCAGAACGAGCAGGAGTAAATGTATCTAGATTTGCATCTCAAGGCCCGTCATGCTGGCTCAACATTAAGCTTAAACCTTTATTATTTGTTTTATGTTTATTGCAATCATGGAAACTTTAATTTGTGTGGCAGAATGTGGTGCTGCTTTCACCAGCAAATTGGAGGGAATGTTCAAGGATATGGAACTTTCAAAAGATGTCATGATTCAATTTAAGCAGGTAAATTTAACTTCACTTATGCGTAGTATATTTATACTAGTTAGATGAGGTCACATAAATTGTATTGAATTAAACCACAACAAAACAGATTTTCCACAGATTGTTTATAGTGTAGTGTATCTGCTGGGATGTTATCTAGCCCTAGTTTCATTTGATTTTGTTTTGTCTCTTAATAATAAAGTCTGAATGCAATGTTGTCTCTAAATGTATTATTGGATCCATCTCTAAAATTAATAAGATGCCATTTTTTCATGTGAGAATTATTGCCAGGCTCTTACTAGTTCAGTATGAACGACCTACATTTAGTGATGAACGTTCTTATGCCATTCAGAGTGGATTGTCGTTATGTTCTCTGGATGCTCAGCCCAGGCACTATCTAGACTGCATTTCTTTCAAAATGTACCAATATCTATCTATCTTAATATCCTATAAATATTTTTGTATGGATTCTTTTCATTTCTTTTGACTTTGAAGACCTTTAGAACAGATCTAATAGACCTAATTGATAGTCATCTTGTCCATTTTGTTCCCAACGTTCACTATGTTCTGAACTGCGTAGGTATGTAGTGTACTTTGCATGACTGCAAAACAGTAAGAAGAAAAGCATTTTCTATCTGAGGACATTGCTTCAAGAAAACTTCCTATTGGTGTACATAATTTCCGATTGCAATCAGTATTTTAAGAAACTTAAGACTGTCCATGTTTACTGTAGGAATAACTTGGTTTTGATCAGATTTTTATATTGCATAGTGCTTCAAGACATTTTCAATGAGAAATGCTTCATAAATTCAACTTTTGGTCTATAGTCAGCTCTATGAGTGTTTTAATGACTTGCCAGAATTAATTCAGTATGTCAAAATTAATTTACAGTTAAAAAAGATGAATACTATAGATAGTAATTAACAGATGCCATATACTTTTCCAAGTTTATTTTTAATTTATTGTGTTAGCAGGATTTTTAACGGGTTTGGGTTTTTTAATTTAATTTTATTTCAGTATATGCAGAACCAAAGTGATCCAGGTAATATAGACCTGACGGTAAATATACTTACTATGGGATATTGGCCAACCTATACACCCATGGAAGTCCACTTACCTCCAGAGGTGAGTCTTTGAACAAGAATTTCTGTCGATTGTGGTGGAGGGATGGAATTCTCAATATTAATGTTGCCTAACACATTAAATTAGAACTGTTTCAATTACTTATAACTAGATATTCATGAGGGAATTCTGCGCTAAAAAATTTCGGCAGACAATATTTTAAAATTCTGCAAATCTTGTCAGTAAATAAATGCGGAGGCTCCAGCATGGCAGAGGAAAGCACAGGTCACTGACTACAGAGAGGTGAGATCACCCTGCAGCCCTTCCCCCCACCATCACAGGACACAGACTCAGTGGGGAGGATGCACCTGACTGACACAACACAAGGGCTGGGCCTATACCCAAAAAACCCTGAGGCCCTGCCCCTCCATGTCAAGCATGCAAGATGTAGGCAGGCAGGTTCAGCCCAGCAGGATCCAGGTGTGGAAGGGCTTTGTGTGGGATGACAAAGTTGTTTGTGGCCCAGTCTGGGTGCAGACTGCTTGCTGGGGGGTGGGAGGGTGGACTCTAGATAAACAGGAGCTCATTGGAGATGGGTTCTAGATGCAGAGGAATGGAACTCTCCAGTAGGGTCCATGTGAAAGTGGTTGTAGGTTAGCGGGGGATTGGGATGTGGAGGGCTCTGCAGAAGGGGAGTGTAGGTGCTGACTGGGTGAGGGGCTAGTTATGATGGTGCAGATGGGGTGGGGATTGTGGAGTAGGGATATATCCCTCTTGGTTAGAGTGTAATGTTAAATCTTGAGTCCAGTGAGAGTGACTCTTTTTGTACATCAGTCTGACCTCTGATGTTGCTGGCACACATTAAAAGGTATGTCGTTCAAATAGAATGAACGAGGTATTTTTTAGTATGCACGCAGGGCTATTCCTAGAATTTATGGGACTCTATGTGCACTTCCTATATGGCCCCCCCATGTGACTTGTTCCTGTCCCCAGTCCAGGGCTCCCCCCGGGCTGGCCCACAACATTTTGGCATCTGAGGCAGGGAGCTCAAATGATGCCCCCATGCCCCCTTGCTTGGGCCAAAATTTTGAAAGGTCTTAATTCTGTCTTTTTCCTGTTCTACTCCTCTCATGGTACTGCTCTGCTACCTACATATGCCCAGCAGCAGACACAATTTTCTACACTCTGGGTTCTAGTGGCGCCTCCCCCCCACCTCCAATCTGGCCCCTGAGGTGGCTGCCTCAGTTGGCCTCATGGTAGGGCCAGCCCTGGCCCTCCCCCTTACTCCTCCCCTCGCCATAGGACACTACGTGGGAGAGTGCAGCAAGGAGAGGGTCAAATGCCTCACCTCCCTGCTGCAGAGGCTGTCATTCAGCTTTTGGGCTTCTTGGGAATTGGAGCATTCCAGCCTCCAGTGCCTGGAAGCCCAGCTCAGGAACAGCAGCGGACAAGGGGTTGAGGGATTGGGGGGAAAGGGCAGCTGCCTTGGGGCATGGCAGTTTGAAAGGGTCCTGGACTTCTGGCTGATGTCACTGTTGCAATAGCAATCAGAGTCCTGGGCTCTTTAAGTCACTCCTGGAGCCCTGGGCAGCATGAGCACAGTGCTGAAGGAATGGCTGGGGAAGAGCCTTCTGCAGCCCTGCCTTTTTTGGGTCTCAGAGCCGGTCCCTCCACACTTTGCCCAAGGGCTCTGCAGTTCCGTCTGTAGCCCTGGACTCAGGTGGCAATCAGGTAACCATCCCCCCCCTGCCCCTTTCAGTACATTTCACCATAATTTGGGGCACCACAGACCCAGCGAGAATGGCTCAGCTCCTGCACATGGACATGAGGGAGCCGATCCACTCTTACCTGCTGTCCCAGTGGTGCCCCAAATTTTCATGTGCCCTATGCAGCTGCATATTCTGCATATGCATAGGGAAGGGCTTGTTTGCACCTTTACTTCTGCACTCTGTTGACAGCAGTTCTGCCTTCAGAGCTGGGCAGCTAGAGAGGGACAGCTGCTGGCTAGCAGCCCCGCTTTGAAGGAAGCATCACCACCAACATCAGCACAGAAGTAAAGATGGCATGGTATGGTATTGCCACCCTTATTTATGCACTGCTGCTGGAGAGGCACTGCCTTCAGAGCTGGGCAACCAGGCAACAACTGCTAATCTCTGGCCATCCAGCTCTGAAGACAGCACAAGAAGGAAGGGAGATGATATGGTAACCCTGCCCCCGCTAAAGTAACAGTGTACTCCCCCTGCAACTTCCTCTAGGGCCAGAAATGCTGGCTTCTCCTTTGAAATCTGTATGGGTATGTTTACAGCGCTATTTCAAATTAACTTAATTCGAAATAGTTAATTTGAATTAAGCTAATTTGAAATAACGCATCTATACACAAAAACTGTTTCGAAATAGCATTTTGCTATTTCGAAATACCACGTCCACACTGAGTGGACCCTGAACCGAAGTTAAGGATGGCCGGAACCAGTGCCGGCAGGGCATCAGGTTAGGACTTAGTGTGGGGGGCTGCTGCCTGAGACTAACTGAGCTCTGTGCTTAAAGGAACCCTACCCCCACCTTGGACAGACAGTTCTCAGGGTTCCCCGCTTGCTTATCTACCTTGATGACGGACAGCAAAGCAGTCCTGTCTTGGAGTGCCCTGAGTGCCTGAACTCGGGACACCACAGCACTCAGCCACATGGAGCTAGAGTTGCCCCTGGGCACGCCGGTGCTTCCTGTGGGGTCATTGCCATCAGCCCAGCTGCACTTGCTGCAGGCTGCCACCCAGGGGGGTCCATCGGGAGGGCTGTCAGGATCCAGGAGCCCCTGAGGGAGAGTGTCCACCCCAAGGAGCCCTCAGAGCCTCCCCAATCCTCCCCACCGGGGGCTCGTGCCCCATTCCTCCCTCAAAACCTTCCACTTATCCCTCCCTAGCCCCCCTTCCTGATGTCAAATAAAAGACATGTATGTTCAAAAATAGAAACTGGGGAGGGGAATGAATCTCTGGGGAGACTGGGAAAAGGATGTGGGAGGGGAAAGACAGAGGGTGGGAGAAGGAAGGGGGAAACCTGGGAGGAGGGAGCTGGAAGGGTGAAGCAAGGGGAAGAAGGGGTAGGAGAAGCTCAGGGTTGGGGGTCTCGCCGGACCAACTTGACTTTCAGGCTAACCTGCTCCTGGGTTCTCATGTGGCCTTTGGTAGCTGGGCTGGCAGCTATCCTGCCATAGACAGTCGCTTTCCTCCGTATAGTGCGGAGATCATGGACGTTGGGGGCATCCCCCCCCAAAACCTGAATAAGGTCCATGATCTCCACCCTGGACCAGGAAGGTGTCTGCTTTCTCCAGCCCCTGCCAGGATCCTGGGAGCTGGCAAATTGCTCCTGGGGGGCGGTGGAGGGCTGGCTGCCATTGGCTTGCTGGCTCATGTTTTGGGGCCACTGGTCAGGGGCCCCAGTGGCCACTGCTGGCTCTGGGTTGGCAGGCTTGAAGCTGGCACAGGCACTGTGGCCAGGGTCTACTCCTTTAATGGCTCCTGGGCTGGGGGAGAGGAGAGTAAGTTTCCTGGTTGTGCCCAGAGTAGTCACCAGGGCTCCCCGGGAAGGGCTGGAGGCCCCCTATTTTGAATTAAGTGTCTACACAGCACTTAATTCGAAAGAGCTATTTTGAATTTGGCATTACTCCTCATAGAATGAGGTTTACCAAATTCGAATTAAGGGTTAGCATGTATAGATGCTATTAAAGTTAATTCGAAATAACGGCTGTTATTTCTAATTAACTTTGCAGTGTAGACATACTATGGTATAGGGCAGAACTACTCACCACGTGGGCCGCATGAGGCCCATTTGTTTGCAGCCTGCAGTGCAGTTTGGGATTTTGTGGGGCTCATCAGGCAGCCCATGGGTTGGAGCCAAAACAAAAAAGTAGTCAATAGAATGGTCTTCTATTGATATGTGTTTTAGTAGTTAAATTCCTGGACTGTCATTGCTCATTAAAAGTGCTGTCATAGGGAGGAAGTCGGGTAAATATTGCATTTTATTAGTATCCGCAGAACTGACTTACATGGGGTCTGTGTGTTGTGTAGTCTTGCCTTAAGCTTTATATTCATGCCTGTCAATGTGAAAGAAGCTATTTGCATATATATATTGCACATATATGCAACCACACTTAAGTTGCGACCGTCGGCAGGTGCTGAGAGTATCATTGTGGTCCCCAGAGCTTCCAAAGTTGAGTAGCCCTGATACAGGGTAAAAGCGGACAAAAGACCAGATTTCATGGGGGAAGCTTTCAAAGTCTGTGACGTGTTTTTTCATGTCTGTGAATTTGGTAGTACCCTATTCATGACCCATGTAAGGGAATTTCATTTTAAATTACATCTTTTCTTGTGTCTCTGTTTAAAAGGAAACTAAGAAATTACAGTAATTTCTCATTTAACACGGTAGATATGTTTCAGAGAATGATCGTGCTAAGTGAAAACGTGTTATGCGGGGTCAATTTTCCCATTGAAAATAATGGAAAAGGTGGGGGTTGCGTTTCAAGAGCATGCGTGCTTGCGGCTCCAGTCTGCATTTGTTAGCAGCTGGGACTGGGACATATGGTTGGGGGAGAAAGGGAACTGGGTTATAGCAGGGAGGGGAGGTGTTTGGCTCTAGGAAAGAGAAGGGAAGGACAGGGGAGGGGGCTTGCAGCTGGTGGCTGGGTTTCCTCAGCTGGCCGGTCACCAGCAGCTGCGTGGGGCTTAGTCTGCCTCCTTACAGAGTGGCGGAGATTTGCCGCTCGCCGCGCAGTTCCCCGGTGACCCCCTCTGGCCAGATGCCTTGCGTCCGGCCAGAGGGGGTCACCGTGGAATGATGCAGCGAGCGGCAAACCTCTGCCACTTTGCAGGGAGGCAGAGGAAGGGCTGCACAGCTGCCGGTGACCGGCCAGCTGGGGAAATCCCTCCGCCAGCTGCAGG